GCCCATTCAAGATACCTTGATTCAAAAATTGTTGCCCATGATGCACCATTTCCCCCAGTTGAAGGTTACAGACATGAGAGTTTTAGTAGTATATAGATTCTTTTTTTAAAGCATAAGATACATAGAATCCTGCCTATAACCCCATTAACTGTTCCATTATCAGTTAATGCTCTATATAGTGAAGAGAACAATTAGCTACATACTTCAGGAACAGTTTCCACCATATTTAGTGGGTTGTATTTCTTATAATCTTGTGTACTATGCCTTCTTCAGAGCTGGAAAGTTGTGATTACAAAATGCTAAGATTTCAGTCCCTGACATTCTTTCTCTTGCCATATCTTGCTGCATGTCGCTGAGTTCCTGGACTTAAGGAATTTCTGCCCATAAGTTCTTAGACCTATGTATAGAACCACTAGACCTTACCTGTATATGGAGAGTGGAAACGCACAGCAAAGGGTCCCCTAGCAAAAGCCTTAAAGTCTCTGGCATCCTCATCTCCAACTTGGCACCAAGCCGTAATTGACACAGCATCCCTACTGTCAGTGAGAAAAATAATCAGGATAAAAAGGTTGTGTCCATGAGGCTTCATTATCCAAAAGATGAAGTATGGACTCTTCCTCTGGTTAATTGTTTTCATAGCTTAGTCCTCTGCTTTTGGCAGTTGCCTCAAACCCAAAGTAACTCTATCCAAGCATGATTCTCACAGAATCTTCTTTAACAAGATTTATTGAGATGAAAGGGGTACAAGATTTTTCAGCAATTGTATTATTGCTCATTGAGAACCAATTTACCGCCTACTCCCTTAGGGCTTTTCTAGTTTCCTTTAACTTTCCTGTAATCCAAAGAGGAGGCAGGTCTTTTCACTGGTAATGGAAAAGCTTGCAACTGGTTGTTTACATAACTGTTTCCTGAATCTTTATCAATCAAGGAACTTACCATAACATCATACATGAAGGTGAATTTAGATCTGAGACAAATCACCTTGGGCAGTTACTGTCACCCAGGACTGTCTGACCCAAGTTTCTACTGAAGGACCAGATTGGGGACAGATGATCCTGGAGAAAATACATCTACATTTATGTGGTGATTAAGAGCTGACATAAACTTGATGGCACATAATGAATCATAAACAAATCTACTGGGAAGGTAAATCATAGGCAGGACAGAGATATTAGGGAATAAAGACTGTGATTTAAGTGTTGATACACAGTATAAAGTTTGTTAGCAGTTATAATAGCTTTCCGCAGATATTTCAGCCAGTGTTAGCTATGCTTCTCTGGAAGCTCTGGTTTAATTACATTTCCAGATCCTGCAGATATTACCGATACACAAACACGTTCTGCTCCTTGTAACTGCTTCGCCCAAGTCTCTTGCTCTCTAGGTAGCTATAGCGATGAGAAGGATCATACCTGTCATGGGGGGGAGGGGGAAGGAGGAAATCAGTGATGCCATCCTACTTAAAAAAACCAAGATGCCACCTTCCCACTGGGACTGTACATTTCATTCCCGGTTCAGGAAAACTGGCCTATTTCAACTCCCAAAAGAAGAGATAAAACTCTTGTTGGTGGTTTCTCTTTTCCCTGATTCTAAACTAACATTTACAAGGAAGTACCTGTGATCCAAAAGCTATGTCTGCTTTCCACATGTTTTAGAATCAGTACAAGCTATTTCACTGCACACAGAAGAACGTCAGGACACATCCACTTCCCAGGTAAAAATGCATAGTATTTAAGGATGGTCACAGTAACTCTGACATCTCAGGCAGAACATTCCATAAGCAGCCTCCTTTGGATGTAAAAAGGCCGCAATTCATTAATTAAGAATGTGCTGCCCTCGATGACACCCAAACTCCATGATCAGAAGCATCTATCTCACTCTGCCTAGAAATAGAGCATTGTGGAATGAAATAAGACCGCAGTCACATGTAGAAGAAGATGGAAGAATTCTCTTCCTGCTGCCATTAGAACAATCTATATGAATAACAGGTACAATATCAATGCTACAGATTCTAATGTTTTTCACTCTTTGGTGCGCTGGCCAAAGTGTAGTCCTCCATTTTTGCCCTGTTGCATTACTGTCTGGAGATCACATTATTCTGCTGTACATAAAGACCGAGTCTATGATTAGAAGTGTTTGCTGGTACCTATTGAGCCTCCGCAGCAGGGCCTGAATAGCCAACCCCTTGGAATCACGCACCTCTTGCACAGCAGAGATATCACAGCGAGAGAGGATCTGGTAGTGAGAAAAGAGGTATACTTATTGTTATGCCCATCCATTGCTGTCATGACTTGAGATGTTCACCTAAGCATCTTCTACATCAGTGTTTTTCAAACTTGGCAACTTTAAGATGTGTGATCTTCAGCTCCCAGAACTCTGGGGAATTCTGGGAGTTGAAGTCCACACATCTTAAAGTTACCAAGTTTGAAAAACACTGCTCTACATTATTTGCAAGAGATTCTGGTGTTGCTGCTTGGAAGATCAAAGCATCATAGGCCTATATTGCATAATAATCTGCCCTCCAAGTTCCATAAGTGATTAATGTTGTCAAGCCCCATGCAGCTGGGCAAGTTCAAGAAAGAAAGAATCACATGGACTTCTATAAAGTATCTTCAATGCTGGATACATCCAGAATCTTGGAAACTGTAAGAGGAATTTCTAACCCACGTTTAGAGTGAGTTTGTTAAGAAAGAGTCCCTTTGAATGAACTCAAATGCTTTTTCCTGAGTTTCTTGCCACCTGAGCCCAGTTGCTGTTTATAAAATAAGCTGCCAACTAACTTGCCTTTGGTCTCCTGATTGTTTATGTCTACTCTCCCCTCCATTATTCCCCCCCCCCCAATCTCTCCCAATTTTTCAGGATGCTGTATCTCAAACCAGTCCACTGAACACTCATTGACAAGAATTAGGTCATCCCATGCTTATTAAAATAAGAAATCCTTTTGGTTAGCGTAGGGTGACTGATCTGTATTAACGTAGGTAACTTTCTGATCTTTGGTCAATCAAGGTCAGTATTGTCAACTCCAGGGTTGACAGACAGAAACCCTAGAGCTGCTCCAGACTCCCAGGCTCCTTTTTTGTACCTCCCCAGCCCCTTCCTCCTATATTTGCTGAAAAATAGCAACAGTTTCCCACCATTGTGTAGCATAAGTCCTAAAAAATGCAGGGTAAGTTCTAAAGTAAGCAGAAAGTAGATAAACATAAATCCAAACTCCTTCCGAAACCAAAGGAGGAAAAGAAAACCCTGCTTCTGCTCACTTCGCAAAAATCACCCCTCAGCTCCAACCACCAAAACACGAAAGCACTTCCCAACTCTGCTAGAGAGAACTGAGGCTGAATCTGAGACCTTTCCTACCTGCTCAAACATTGCTATAGTTATGAGATTGGACTGGAGTGCCACTTGCTTTTATACAGTAACATGCTTTCTCCTTCAGCTGAAATGGTGTCAATTTTTATTTCAAGTTGTTGAATTTTCCCAATTGATGGATGAACTGTTGCATTTCCCCTTTTTGTTCATATAATGTGGTGGCCTGGGCATGACTTCCGGCACAACTACTTTGAATGAGGATTCTTCTATTTCTTCGTTAGATTTGTATCTCACCTTTCATTCAGGATCTCAAGGTGACATACATACTCCTCCCACTTCCCATTTTTCCCCACAACAGCCACCCTGTGAGATAGGTTGGGCTGAGAGAGTGACTGGCCCAAAGTCACCCCGTAAGCTTCCGTGGCTGAGGGAGGACTTGTCCACTTCTGCCCTGCACCACTCCAGCTGTCCCTGGGTCACTTCTGAAGCTGGGCTGAGTGCCAGCCTCTCTCACTGCACTGTCCTCACCACTTCCTCCACCTGCAAGTCCAAACAGAAACTCACCTGGACAAGAGCTCCCATGACCTTCTGGTTGGCTGCCTTGGCTTGCCCAAAGCTGCGTATGTTGAAAGCACAGATTTTGAAAGATGCAGCCACAAGCATCATGTCCAGCAAGAGAAGCAGAAAGGTGAAGGCTTGCGCCATAGGCCTAGTATGTGTTTGATCGTAGGAGGGAGCATGTGTGTCTCCAGCTGCAGAGGAGGAAAACAATGGCACAGAGGACTACATTGCCACATCAGCAAGGAGGAGGACACTGGCTTTTGTGCTGCAGGTTGAGTTGGGCATGGAACAATGTAGCAGAGAAAACGCTGGACTTCGCTGGGCTGGTCCCCCTCCATCTGATTCCTGATTCTTTAGCATCCCCTGTAGATGGTCCTCAGGAGCATTCTGGTAGGACCCAAAGGTTGTCTGAAAAATCCGTTTAGAAATTTCCACCCCTACCCTGTTGTCATCTAGATGAGCTGGAGTGCAATTCCATCAGTTCCCAGGCTGAGGAAGGCTGAATGAACCACACTAGCCAATTCGCCTTTTCACATCTATACTTTTATTGATCCATTTTGATTTTTCATAGAGATTGTTCATGCAGTTTCATGGTACAGTTGGGGTTGTGCATGTATGTGGGTATATATCCATCTGTATTACAAGCATGTGTATGTGTGTGGCCATATGTACTTTTGTGTGTGTGTACGCGCACGTGTGTGTGCCTTCAAGTCAGTTTTGACTCCTGGTGACTGCCTGGACAAATCCCTGCAGCTTTCTTGGCAAGATTTTCGGAAGTGGTTTGCCCTTGCCTCTTTCCTAGGGCTGAGAGAGAGGGACTGGCCCAAG